AGGTAAGGTTTAGGGTTAGGTTTAGGGTTAGGTTTAGGGTTAGGTTTAGGGTTAGGTTTAGGGTTAGGTTTAGGTTACAGCGTGCTTCTGTCGGTGCGCTGTTGGCGCGCTTCAGCGCTCATTCGTCTGCGCGGTTTTGTCGGCGCGGTTTTGTGGTGGAACCTTTTTTTCAGCATCCTCACCCCCCCTCCTTCTTTAACGTCCTGTAGGAGGTGCGCATTGAAACTCAAGCGCTGGGGTGTGCATCCGCATGCCTTTGCAAACAGCTTTTAGCTCCGGGTGGGCTTGTGTTTCAGTCATAAGGATGCTCATTCAAGAAAATTAAGAACTCTTGAAAGAAAAGTTGCGCAGCTGCCAAAGCTGTGTGTTGTCGGAGATCCAGGACGGCCTCCTGTTCTACAGTAAAGTACAGTGCGGCTTTAATACGTGAATTGATGGGGTCGTTATCATAGGGGAGAGGGAAACCTCTCAATCGTAGAGTTGAAAACCTGGCAGGCCGAGTTTGTGAAATGCGACTCTGCTAAAAACAGACTTTGTACCTCTTCTCTTCCCTTCGTTTCAATGCCTTTGCTCGCTATGAAAATTGGAATTATGCTTTATTTTTTTAAATAGAGGGTTTCCTATTGTATACAGTTCTAAATAACCCTCTCAGACCTGATTCTTTGAAACGATCCAAAAAGCTACGATAACGACACTTGTTGATAATGCACCCCTGGTTAACCAACGTGGCAGAGTTCTAGTGTGGTTACAGTGGGACACACACCAGAGTGTGTGTGTTATGCTGATTAATAACATCCCCATAGCAAACAGAACTCCGAGGCAGGTAGATTCCTTAAAGAACAGTTTTATTTGGATACATCATGTTGGCACGAACTGGTGAAAACCGACTCTAACGGTAAAAGTTTCCCCCCCTCTTCCCAAACAATTAGTCACATGGTCCAATCAAAGTGCTGTCCGGTTGCTTGGTAACTTCACTCCTCCTCTCTCCAGCCACCTGTTCAAATGTCCTTGGTTCCTAGAGGAAACTATTTTGTTTTGGGTACAATCCCCACCCCACCCCAAGCGACCTCTACTCCCCGGCCTCTGTAACCCTCATCTCCATTGTGGCAACACTGAAGCCTCAAAGGTGGCCTCAGTCCGGCCAGCTTCAGAGTTGACGGTTACCATATTTTTCGGAGTGTAAGACGCATCTTTTTCCCTCAAAAAAGAGGCTGAAAATCTGGGTGTGTCTTATACACTGAATACAGCATATTTTGCCTCCTGAAACTCCGCCCCCTTCACCAAAATGGCCATGCAGAGCCTTTAGGAGCCTTACAGAGTTCCTGGGGGCTGGGGGGGGGCAAAAATGAGCAAAAAAGGGTCGCTTTCTGCTCAATTCCCCCCCCCCCGGAAGACGGCAAAAACCCACTTAGCGCCATTCGTGGCGCTTTAAAAAACAAAAACGGACCTGTTTTCGCGAAAAACAATTTGCCTCTTCAAAACCTTGGTGCGTCTTATACTCCGGTGCGTCTTATACTCCGG